AGCAGCACTCCACTCAAAAAAACACTGCTTTATCAGCCATTACATGCAAGATTAAATGAAAATGACATCCAATTTTTTGAAGACAGTCGGTTTCCTTCAGAAATACAGTAATATAAAAACACCCGCACTCAATGTATAGGAAACACTGTAGTCTCATAACTGAAGTGTAAATTCTGCAGATTACATCATTGTCCAGTATTGTACTGTCAGCGATTTATTATAAAAACGTTTTCATAAGTGTAACATAAATATTTACATACATAATTAATCAGGTGCATGTGTAATAACTTGCGAAAACTTGAGGCTACAGCAGCACTTCTTCTTCTAACCATGACCTCGCCCGTCCCCACCCCCCAACTGTTTGAATTATTTTAATGATATTCTAGTGGGCCGCTTTGTGACATCACAAAACCCGGAAAACAAACGCTGTAGTCCAAACGAGCCGTTCGTTGTAGTTCTTGAAAAGGGATTTTTAAAAAACTAAATATCTCCCTTTGGAGTGGACTTTGAGATTTGTACGTTTGAATATCTATTTTATGCCCAAACATACACACTACACACTGACTAAAATTCAAAAAGTGAAAAAGCATAATAGGACCCCTTTAACTCAAAACATGCATTCAATCAAGTGTGTCCAAAGTATATTGAAATAATTTGATGCATAATAAATACCAGCACCTTGTATGTTCAGACTGTAGCTTACCTGTTATGTTAACAACAAATTCAGTTGTTTTCCTGTCACAGTTTGCTTGGAAAAATAATTTAAATTTTACAGTCGTGATTGCAGTTGGATTGTAAACACATGTGGCGTTGATCTCTCTTACACAGGTCTCGTTAGGAAACTCCTTTTTGTAGATTATTGTGGCGTTATCCTTAAACATGTAGGATTTAATGCAGCAGTGATCATCTTCCTTACTGCAGTTCAACAAGATGCTGCAAGTGAGAGTTAATTCTTCATGCACAGTTCCAGTCACATCAATGTACTCTTTTGGTGAGGAAAAAGTACACACTTTTGACTGTAAAATAAATTTTCCACTGGGCACTGGGAAAAAGCGGTCCTGCCAAAAAACATGTCACTGTCTGTCGCCAGCTCTAATTGGAGCAGCTTGCAGTCCAGCAGAAACAATATTTTTGAGAAAGTGCTCCCAATCTAAACCTTTCCAAAACATTTTCTTACCATCACTGGCTTCACAGACAAATGCATATGCCCAAAACAGTATGATCATTTTCACAGCATTTACAACGTCCATGGTTTTGCTTCTGCAACATAAGAATGACAATAATACTTAAACATCTTAATTTAATTTAAAAGGCATGAAGACAATAATGCGCTGACCACAAGAACAGCACTGAACAGAGTTGAAACAATCTGAAGTCTAATATTCATTATATTATGTTTCTAGAGTGAGCCATGTTTGAATAAAGGCTTTTTAACATTTTGGAACTGGAAGAAGTGCCTTGGATCCGTAGTTTCTATAGATTCATTAGACTGGATTAAAAAGTTAAATACTGAATACTGAATACTGAATAAAGAGATTCAAACAAAAACAAAAAAGAAATAAAATAAAAGAAATAATTAAAAGAAATAATAATAATAAAATAAAAACAAAGCTAGGAAAATACTGATTGATTTTAAATGTAATTAATTCAATAATGAAAAAATATTGAATATATTTATAAAATAAAAAAAAATAGAATTGAAAAGTATATTTACATTTATTGTATATCTTGCTTAACAAAATCTATTCAAATCAAATGGTATTCGAAGTTTCTGCCTGTGTACAGAAGCATGAACACATGTTAGACTGCACCCCATAAACACAATCAAGCCTAGAAAAAACCCAGTCAACCACCCCTTTAAATTGGTCGCTTATTTTTTGATTAGGAAGCTGCTAACCTCTAGGTTTGGGAACAGTGCTTGCATTATTGCTAGCATTGCACTAGCTAGTTGATTCTCATGCACAGCTGACAGAAACTGATGACAAGCATGACAAGAGACATGACTGAAAGTACTTATGCAAAAGCAAACAGACAACGCGGCATTCAGTGTTTTTTTAAAGATAATAATCAGATGTGATCATAACTACGCTATTCTACCAAAAACTAATACAAAATGACGAAACTGCTGGTTTGATACGAACTCAAACAATGATAAAACTGTTGTTTTTATTTTAACTTCATGTTTTAACTGAGCTGTCAATGATATGCCACAAAACACACACAGCATCTTTAGCCTCAGACTAGTGGAAGTGCTCAATATTGCATAAGATTTACATATGGTTTCAGTTTTCTGCCATTCTGCTCTTGTTGATCTACTGCTGAGGTCTGCCATTAGCTCATTTAAATATTTTAATGGCATTTCACATACAACAATGCACTGTGTTCATTTTTACAGTTTTAAAGCATTTTCAGTATATGAACTGCAACTACTGCAAGAATAATATGGATTTATTAGTACATAAAAAAATACATTTTATCTCCTAATGCATGTGTTTAAGTCACAAAGGTTAAAATCAGGTGTTTATTGGAAGTGGTTAAGGATTAGTGTATGTAATAAAGGTTACTGTCATGTTCAATGGTTAATGTTTAATATAAGAGAATTATTGTGCACTTACCGGATATGCATGTCTTTGCCTTGAGCATGTTTTACTCCACACTGATTTCTTTATGTGTGACACAAGGACATACACTTAAACTGCTAATCTTTGACTTGCATTTTCCAAATCAAAGCAGGTTCTGCAATTTGGAGAGATTCTCTCTGCACTCCACAACATGATTTATGATTTATAAGCAGGTGAGCCAGAAGTGAAGTGCAAAACCTGCAACACTTTAAAACATCAAAACAGTTCAATCAAAAGTGAAAGTTCTGCTATTAATTTTGCCCTGAAACAACAGGACATTTTTGAGAAATCCTCAACATCTGCACAGTTCATAGTGAATCAGAACAAACAGCATGAAAACACCATAAAGACTCATTTATTACACATTCTGCAGAAAATGCAGTCGCCTTCTCAGTTGCTTAAATAAAAATGCAAATGGTAGTACATTTTTATTTGATGTAATGTTGACACATAAAAACTGTATGATAATAAATATGATTCATTTCACTCACGTATATCATCATGGTTTCTCCAGCCCACGCACCACACCTAAATCTGTCAGTACTCTGTCATTAGTTTGATTGTTGTTGCGTGAATGGCTAATGATGAAATTAGGAAACATCCCTGGAAAGAGGAAACAGAAGCTCTGCAGCAGTTCAGAGGAATGAAAGAAATGAAGCTAGATCTGAAAAACTAAAAATAAAGCTCATTACACAGTTACTGAATCAACAATGAACTTATTTTATTATACAATTATTTTATTTTATTATTTATTTAAATAGACTTAATTTGTGTCCAATATATTTATTTTTTCCATATAATATTTATGTGTATTGTTTTGTTTTTATTTTGTTTATATGGTAGGCCTATATTTTCAGTAAATATGGAGTAAAAATTGGATTTTGTTTTTATATCTTTTGTCATTATGAACTTATATTATTAATGTTTGCATCAGCCACCTTGCAGATATTAATTAGCAGGTGCTGAAAAACTAATATTGATCAGTAAATGCACAATAAACATTTGCAATAAAATGAAATTAAGATCTCTTTGCTTCTGTTGTGAAATCAGTCCGTGGTTCATCTGCCATGTTTACACTGGTGGTGGTTTTTTGTGGTCTCATCTGACTGCTATTGATGGAATGAGTGATTTTCTTGGCTCTGAATGCTCGACACGTGACAGCTGTTTGCTTTCATCAGCTGTAGGATCATCTTGTTCTCTTTCCCGGAACAGTTGGTATTTCTCAGGCAGTTACTCCTGTATCTCAAACAGTAGCCAATGGCGTTAGCAACAGGTTATGGGTTTGATTCCCATAGAGTGCATGAACTGATCAAATATAAACCTTGAATGCAATGTAAGTTCACTGTATTTCAGAAAACTGATCTCAAGGTTGATTTAAACTGTACAGGATTACACTAAAATCATTCTACCCTCCAAATCTCTTTTATTAAAAAAAAAAAACCTTATAACCCCAAATATCTAAAGATTTCCTTCAGAATAAGATAATAACTTGTAACTTGTCTTACACAAATAAATAATGCATACATACAGATCTGCTCTTTGTACTCTTCACCCATTTTACTAGTTTATCTGGTAGAACTCACCCATAAACAGAGGATCCAGATATTCATCTTTAGAGAGTATCACAAGTCTTTATTCATTTCAGTGTCCTTTTTAAAAAATAAGATACTGTACAAAACCACACCGTTCACACTATTATATAATATATAAAAATGACATTCATATTATACATTCCTTGAAAGTCAGAAAAAAACACAGTTTGAGTTTAGCTGTGTTTCCTCTTAAAGTTCACAAAGGTTTGAGTTCATTAAAGTCATATACACTGATCAAACAGATCAATAATATGCTGTTATTTCACAGAAATCAATATAAAACAGAAACAAGAGTTTTAAAACCTACAGCCAGAGTTATATATTCAGTAGTTTGAGATATAAGATGGTAGAGCATGTAGTTTGACTGCATCATATAATAATTGCTGTTAATAGTGTTCATCGTCTGTTTGATTACATCTTTAATTGATTTTTCCGTACATTTCTGCCATATGTACATTAACTGACAGTCACCACTGATAAGCTACCACTAAATATTGTAGAAACTTAATTTGCTGTAAAGTTGCTTTGCAACGATTTGTATCGTAAAAAGCGCTGTACAAATAAACTTGAATTGAATTGAAAGTTTAGTGGAGTTCAAATAAAGCTTGTGTGTTTCATGAGCACCACATGAAAAGTCAAACAAAATTCAATGCTATTATATCTCATTTTCTGGACGATCGTTGTCCTCATCATGTCTGACACTCAAAAACATCCAGTTCTGGAATCTACAAAGTTTGGTAGAGTTTGGTTTTGTATTGCAAATGATCGCCATCATGATGATGAGGATGAGGATGAGGATGAAACCACTCACAAGCACAGTGATGACAGTATCCTTGACTCCTGCTGCTGTCTCAGGTGGAGAGGATCCTGATGGGTTTTCTGGGTTCATACGTCCTGAGGAAACTGAAGAAATAATAAATAGTTGTGTTAAATTATAATAACTTTCTTACCAAGAGTTTTACTATTATTTTCAGGTTTAATGGTCTTTGTTAACAGGTTTTAAACCACTGTTAGTAGATTGAACATAAATGTACATTTGCAAAGATTTACTAAATTATAAGCAAAAATGTTACAGTATGCAGTACCTGATGTGTCCACAGTGAATCCTGCTCTTTTCATTCCACAGTTTGTTTGCACAAAGAATGTGAATTGTTCTGTCATTGCTGTAGTTGGAGTGTAGCTGCATGTGAAGCTGTTCCTCTGTTCACAGGGGTCATTAGGAAAGTCTTGATGACAGATTACGGAGTCATTAAAGCTCTCAGGGTATTGAAACTTATAATTTTTAATGCAGTATTCAGTGCACTGCAGAGAGACGCTGCAGGTGAGAGTTACTTCTTTCCCCACAGAACCAGTCACATTCTGACAGCTTACAATGACATCTGAAAAATAACAATATAAATCATATAATACAGTAACTGAACAATAAAAAAAGATGTTGTTTTTTGACATCTCATGAAAATCTGATATTCCATGTGTCCATGACAGTCATACAATAAATATACAGTTTTTCATTAGAGAACCTATTCATAAATAAAATCACTGCATTATGTATTTTGTACGTTAGATTTAGAATTTGATCTAGCCATGGGAAAGTCAGATATTGTATTATTTATTATGAATCGTAACTTCAGTATATATACATTACTTAGTTTCTAAAAGCAGAATAATACAGCAATCTCTGCATGCAGCCTCATCCTGAATCTTTCTTTTAATCATGTGCATCAGATGTAATCAGTGCAGCACAAGATCCTGTAGTCATGATTGAAAATGTGATTTTGCACTTATCTGTATGAACATATTGTTTTACGTAAAAGAGCACATTAATGGGCAGAATTTTTTTTTACTGCTCTCTGACCATAATGGATTTCACTTCCTATTGTGTAAACTATTCAAACAGTAAATCTGTCTTTTGAATCAGACTAAGAGTCAAAAGCTCTTACACTGGGTATTTTAAAGAGCCACAGGTTTTGTTTATCTATGAATCAGATTTGACCATGTTTCATCATCTCAGATTTAGTCCCTCCTCTAAATTCTCTCACACTTTCTATGGAAAAGTCTATTTTCTTACCATCATCAGCTTGACAGACAGCAGTAAAGGTCCAAACCAGAATGAACAGTTGCACAGCATTTACAGCATTCATGGTTGTGATTCTGCAGTAGAAATAATGACCGAAATTTGCATCATAATGAAACTTAGGACTAATAAATTAGTACTAGAGATAAGAGAGTAGATAGACACTTTAAAGGAAGAGGAAGATTTACTGAATGCTCATCAGAAATGTCAACAATTAAAACCAAAGTTTTACCTGGATTAAGTTAGTTCTGAATGTTTTTTTTTTTTTAAACGAACAAGTCATATTGTAAGATTTAAAGAACCTCAGATACTTTGATCTTATGTGATACGGACAATACACAGTGTATTAACATATCCATTTCAACATCTCACTGAGAGAAGATGCAGGAAAACTCCTTTCTCACCTATACTTTTCATCCACGTCCTTCCCTTCACTCATCTCACTCAGAATGGTCAATAGCAAAATATAATGTTCTACATGAATGCAAGTGATATTCACAATCATGATAGGTATCATTTGAATCGTCTCTGTGCGACTGGTACAATGGTCTTACAAGAAGTAGGCTAAAAGGTAATACAGATCCTAAGAGTTTAGAGATATTTTGATCCATGTAAATTCCAATTGTAAGTTCTTGTCTCCATTTGGAGGATGTTTGTCTTGGTCTGAGTACTTAAGTGAATGTTGCAAGAAGATTGGGGTGATTTTGTAGCCAGGTGAGCCCATAGTGTGGAGTGTCTATTCACTTCATACTATGTATTTTTCTGAATGTCAGGTATGCATCTTTTACTCTTAGATTTATCTTTGAGAATTTGATGTCTTTGCATTGATTTGATTTAATTTGATATCTCTGAATTGACTATGTAATTGGCATAATGCATATTTACCTGACTGATAATAAATTGTTACATTTGATTTTATTCTGACTTACTCTGAAATTATTTTCTCAAGTAGATTAAAGGTGTATGTTTCCGCAAATCTGCATCCAGGGTTAAGTACAAAAATCAGTGTATAACTCCAACCTGGCATAAAAAAGCATGAATAAATCCTATGATTGCTGATTACTTCACATTACCCCACATTAGCAATACATTTCCTACCGTAACTTCATTGGAACATTTAATTTTATTGTACATTTACAATTAAAATGAAATTAAGTTGTCATTATTTCTGTTGTGAAATCAGTCAGTGGTTCATCTGCCATTTTTACACCTGTTGCCATACAACACACTCTATGGTGGCCCTTTCATCTGAGTCTTGTTTTTTTAAAGGGGTCATCGGATGCAAAATTCACTTTTGTTGTTGTTTGAACATAAATGTGTGTTGGAAGTGTGTGATCCATCCTATAATGATAAAAATCCCTATTTCAAAATCCCCTTTCTCAAATCAGGCTGTTCCGAGATTCCGAATAAATTGTTACATTTGATTTTATTCTGACTTACTCTGAAATTATTTTCTCAAGTAGATTAAAGGTGTATGTTTCCGCAAATCTGCATCCAGGGTTAAGTACATACTAGATCCCAGGTTAGATGGAGCATCAGGTGAGACTCTAGATTTCTGACTAACTGCTTAACTTTAGTTAAGTTGTTATCTAGTTGTATTAACTATGGGGGGTTAGACAAAATACTATTGGAGTACTAAGCATGGCTCGGCATACTTCATAGTACTAGTCATGGTTATTGTCTCAGCTTTATTCAAGTTGTTATATAGTTAGATACAGGGGGCTAGATAAAAACACTATTGAAGTATTAGCATATAGTGCTAGACATAACCTCTGATTATTGTTTGAGCTTTAACTAAGTTGTTACGGTGACAGTAGGGGGCTAAACAGAACCACTATTTAAAGAAAGACAAGCATAGGACATCTATTAAATAATAGTCCTTACCTCTGACTAAAGAGTTTGTGATCGTGAGGTCCGACACGAGACACTCTAATGAACGAGTAAATATAAAGAGTTCACAAGAATAATCAAATGTCAGAAGAAGAAGAATTACAAATGGACAAACAACCAATCTGCATTTTAATCTAAATTCGAGGTCATAATAAAATGAAGTCAGATTAGAATTTAAATGAAATTAAATTACTTTCAACTTGCACACCGAAAAGAGCGAACTTGCAGGAAACCTTCAGCCATTGGATACCTTCGTTGGGCCAATTGGGTGGACCTTATACAAATAGACTACTTTTAAGGTGATAAAGTAGGCTATTTAAAATTATCCAAGGGTGATGAAATGATGACAGAAATTATTTTCTTTTTTTTTTATTCGTGAACTATTCCTTAATGCATCCAAGAAACACCAACATCTTCTAATGCATCTTCGATTTTTAGCCTATTGATCTAATACATAATATAATAATTACACAGTAAAAAAAAAAAGTTCCTCCCACGATAGTTGATTGACAAGTCAGTCTTACCTTAAGACCCACCCTGAGTGAGCTGAGAGCTGTCCGTCATTGTGTCGACTCCGGTGCAGGGGAAGACAAGAATGTCTCCGATTCATTCTCCAGCTTCATCTACAGAAGAAGTGAGTATAAGGTTTTTTTTTTAATGAATCTTTGTAAATTGCCTTTCCTAATATGTGCTAGTTAGCAAGTTTAGCGGCTGAAGTTTACAGTCTACTCGTCATCCCACGGAAGAGAGGGGCGGGGTCAGCAGAGCTCATTAGCATTTAAAGCAACACAGACTAGAACGGTGTGCTGAAAACAGAGCTGATTTTGACAGGGTAAAAAGGGTGTTTTTTACACTACCATTGAGAAATTTTAACCAAAGTATGTTATATACTTTTCATTAAGACCCTAAAGAATCATATCAACTTGTGGAAAATGGGCATCCGATGACCCCTTTAAGTGATGGAATGAGTGATTTTCTTGACTCTGAATGCTTGACAAGTGACAGCTGTTTGCTTAGACAGGATAATCTTGTTCTCTTTCCCGGAACAGTTGGTATTTCTCAGGCAGTTACTCCTGTATCTCAAACAGCAGACAATGGCGTTACCAACAGGTTATGGGTTTGATTCCCATAGAGTGCACGAACTGATCAAATATAAACCTTGAATGCAATGTAAGTTGCTTTGAATAAAAGTGTCTGCCAAATGCATGAATATGATTTATTCCTAAAATTTCAGAAAACTAATCTCAAGGTTGACAAATTATAATTTATAGCAGAATAAATTCATGCAACATGTCTTACACAAATAAATAATCAGCTCTTTGTACCCACTTTACTAGTTTAACTGGTATAACTTACCCATAAACAGAGGATGCAGATATTCAACTTTAGAGAGTATCACAAGTCTTTATTCATTTCAATGTTCTTTTAAAAAAATTAAAAAAAGAAACTGTACAAAACCACACTCCAAACTTAAGTCATATTAACATTGACTGTACAAAATATAAAACTGACATTCATTACACATTCCTTGAAAGTCAGAAAAAAAGAGCAAAACTAAACACAGTTTGAGTTTCACTGTTTCCTCTTAAAGTTCAAAAAGTTAATTAAAGTCACTTGTACAAATATACACTGATCAAACAGATCAATAATATGCTGTTATTTCACAGAAATTAATATAAAACCGAAACAAGAGTTTTAAAACCTACAGCCAGAGTTATCTACTCAGTAGTTTGAGATATAACAGATAGTAGAGCATGTAGGTTAGTGGAGTTCAAATAAAGCTTGTGTGTTTCATAAGCACCACATGAAAAGTCAAACAAAACTCATTCGTTTCGTACTTCTGAGTCAATGCCATTATATCACATCTTCTGGAGGAATGTTGTTGTCTTCATCATGTTTGATGCACAGAAACATCTTCTTCTGGAATCCACAAGGTTTGGTGAAATTTGGTTTCGTTTTGCAAATGATTGTTACTATGATGATGATGAGGATGATGCAGCCCACAGCAATGATAGCATACTTAGATTGAGGATCCTCAGCTTTTCTTGGAGCTAGGAAAAAAGCAATTAAACTGTTTTAATTACTGTTTAAATAATAAACTCATCTTTGGCCTATCAGAATGCAGACACTTCTGATCTGATTAAAACTGATTTCACATATCTCTAAAAATAACTCTGATTGAAATATCTTGAGAGCTGCGTTACTATTTAGAAACCATGATCAGGCAACAATTAGGCCATAAACATGGCAAAAAATTGCAAACATTTATTGCATTATAAACAACATGCAGTACCTGCTATGCCCACAGTGAAATTTATGCTTCTCGTTCCACAATTTGTTTGCATGAAGAATCTGAATTGTTCTCTCATTGCTGAAGGTGGAGTGTAGCGGCATGTGACATTGTTTCTCTGTTCACAGGACTTCACAGGAAGCACTTGTTTACAGATTTTTGTGCCATTATTGATATCAGGGTATTGAAACTTATAAATTTTAATGCATTCAGTGAGCAGCAGAGAGACGCTGCAGGTGAGATTTACTTCTTTCCCCACAGATCCAGTCACATCATCACAGCTTACAATGAAATCTGAAAAATAACAATGCATATTGTATAGTACAGCAACTTAACAATAAAAAATGTTATTTTTTGACATCTCATGAAAATCTGATTTTAACATATGTCTGTGTCCATGTCAGTCACACAATCCAGTCTTTCATTAGAGAACCTATTCATAAATAAAATCACTGCATTATGTATTTTGTACGTTAGATTTAGAATTTGATCTAACTGTGGGAAAGTCAGATATTTTATTATTTATTATGAATTGTAACTTCAGTATATATACACTACTTAGTTTCTAAAAGCAGAATAATACAGCAATCTCTGCATGCAGCCTCATCCTGACTGTTTCAGATGCGCATCAGATGTAATCAGTGCAGCACAAGATCCTGTAGTCATGATTGAAAATGTGATTTTGCACTTATCTGTATGAACACATTGTTTTACGTAAAAGAGCACATTAATAGGCAGAAAAAAAATGTAATGATCTCTGACCATAATGGATTTCACTTCCTATTGTGTAAACTATTCAAACAGTAAATCTGTCTTTTGAATCAGACTAAGAGTCAAAAGCTCTTACACTGGGTATTTTAAAGAGCCACAGGTTTTGTTTATCTATGAATCAGATTTGACCATGTTTTCATCATCTCAGATTTAGTCCCTCCTCTAAATTCTCTCACACTTTCTACGGAAAAGTCTATTCTCTTACCATCATCAGCTTGACAGACAGCAGTAAAGGTCCAAACCAGAATGAACAGTTGCACAGCATTTACAGCATTCATGGTTGTGATTCTGCAGTAGAAATAATGACAGAAATTTGCATCAGAAATGAAACATATATAGGACTAATAAGAAAGTACAAGAGATTAGATAGAGACCAGAGGACAATTTACTGAAAGCTCAGCACAAATGTCAGCACTTATCAGCAAAAGTTTACTTAGATTAAATCAGTTCTAGGTCGGGGTCTATCCGGGTCTACTGCAACTCAGACAAACGCAAAATTTAAGCACTAGGGATTTGAACACTAATTTCACTTCATTCTTATGTACACAGATACTTATGGATTTAAATCAGTTTTATATTAAAAAAAAAAAAAAAAAAAAGCCATATAGACTACTTTTATGGTGTTAAAGTATTTAAAAATAACTCAAGGGTGATTATATCATAAAGGGTGATTAAATCATGATAGAATTTCATTTTCCCCCGTCAACTATTCCTTTATGCTTCCAAGAAACACCTACATCTTCTAATGCATCTTTACATAACTTACAGCCTATTTGATCTAATACATAGACCTAATATAATAATTACACAGTTAAAAAATGTTACTTCAAGTCAGAGAATATGCTTTACTTCTTCAGTATATCACACTTAAATAATTTGAAAGGTTTCACCCAACATAATAAATCATGCTTTAATTTGGAGGCGCTGAAGGAACTCGTGAGTGCAAAATACAAACGCGAAACCACAAGATTTGTTACAGCACTGAGAGCACACAATGAAACACGTCCGTTCATTACAAATATATCAGCTGAATCTACAGCGCCGCGACAGAAACTTAACATGATTTTTTTTTTTCTGTTGCATTATCTTCACTGGCAGAACGCAAAAACAAATAATTCTGTAAAAAAAAAACACTGCAACACTGATCAGACAAAATCAAAAAGAATTCTATATTCATATGCATTTTGAAATATCTGCAAAATGTGTAATGAATGTAAGCCTACTTGAAGATTTGCCCGTAGTTGGTTAATTATTATATTAAAGGAGATAATTTCCCATTCAGAGAGAGTTATTGCTCACCCGCGCTCTGCGTCTTCACCGTTTGAGTTCCTTCCACTCTGACTCTCTCTGCTGCGCGAGCGCATAAATAGAGCCTACTTTCACTTTCAAAATGGCTCATGCACAGGCCCTGCACCAGAGTGGGATCCCTGTGAACCCCCCAAATCCCCACACCCAGGTCTAAGGGGGACGGCCGGACTTTAGTTTTGCGTGTATAATAGTCTAACTCCCATAACTCCTGGTCTACGATTTGTTTTCTTCGTAATAATAACATATAGATTTGGCAAACAATCCAGTGTATCTGCCCTTCTACTTTGGAAAGCGTCAAATGATTTTACAGTGCATTTTCGCAGAAGGGAACAAAGTAGCCAATCACAGACATGTTTGTTGATTTCTACAACGCAATGGCCAATCAGATGTGTTTAGGTTGGAATCCACGCACTCACCTCTTTTTGTCCAGTGCTGAGTTCTTGCTTGTAACTTCATTCAGATAAGTTTCATTGTGTGGTCGCATTCATTGGTTGAAAGGGAACTTTGTGAGATCGTGATGAATGAGTGACAGTTTTTAATAAATTTAAAGGGAGCGCTCTTTGCATGCTGTATACGATAATACATTCAGAATTTAAATAAAACTTGTGTTTTTCATAATTGACAAGCGGCCACGTACGACACAGAGATAGCTAACTATTACACTATATAGAAAAATATAATAGCCTATAATTTCAGAAGCACAAAGTGATGTGATTCTGCAACTGAGCCTGCAGGTCCAAACGCAGGATTTATGTAAGGAAACGGTTAATTATTTGTATTGGCTGCCATGCCTAATCATGCACCTGCTTGCTTTTCTGTTTAAGTGTTTTTGTGAACATATATGCTTTAATAACAAATAATTGTAACATTTTGCAATAAGGTTCCATTAGTTAATGTTAATGTATTAAAGTGTATTAAAGTGTTAGTTAATTAGTGTAAAGTGTTACCCAAATAATGTATTTTGAGCGTTCACTTGAAACTAAGCGAATTAATTTCAGTGAAGCTTAAAGAAGCAGTGCTTCTTAATGCATTTGGCTTGCCACGGAAATTAATCACATGCATGTTTTCAAGCATCCAAACGATTTTAAACCGTTCAAGCGCAAGAAGATGCCAAAGATAACTAAATTCGGTACTCAAGCTGCTGTTTTCTGTGTGCGCACACCCAAAGCGTCCACACAGCATCTCAGACAGCGCGTGTCAACGAAAAGAGCTCACTTTTGAGCATTATTGCGCTTGAACGCACAAAATACAATATTAAACCTGGTCAAAGGAAAAATGCCCCTTTTTGCGAGTATCCGCGTAAGCACAGTCTTACCTGAGTTAAAATAAACTTTATTAAATGAACATAAACTGTCGGAAGAAAATCTGATACGTGTTTTCCGTGCGTTTGGTCTTAAAGTGACAGCAACTTTTTATTTACCTGCTACTGTCTGTGTCAATTTGTGTTTATGGTAATTAAAGAACAAAGGAAAAATCACTCTGCTAAAATCTGCTCTTGACTGAACAACTTATTTATATTTAATGAGTGATTTTCTTGACTCTGAATACTTGACACGTGACAGCTGTTTGCTTTCATCAGTTACAGTTTGTCATCAGTTACTCCTGTATCTCAAACAGTAGCCAATGGCGTTAGCAACAGGTTATGGGTTTGATTCCCATAGAGTGCACGAACTGATCAAATATAAATTCAGTTCAATTCAAGTTTATTTGTATAGCGCTTTTCACGATACAAATCATTGCAAAGCAACTTTACAGCAAATTAAGTTTCTACAATATTTAGTGGTAGCTTATCAGTGGTGACTGTCAGTTAATGTTCATATGGCAGAAATGTACGGAAAAATCAATTTAAGACGTAATCAAACAGACGATGAACACTATTAACAGCAATTATTATATGATGCAATCAAACTTATAGCAAAATGTGGTAGTTCTGTATGTTGTTTCAGGGTTTGGCATCATCTGAGGTCCTCTGAGGGGTTGGCATCATCTCTTCTCAGGTGTTCTGGATCCAGACTGAAGCTTGTGTAAATCCTATAGTTACCACGGGATGTCAATATCAATATTCATAAATATCTCAAGATGTGTCACTATCTGTGTCGCTATTTGGAATCTATCATCAGTTTCCTTTCAGATTCCTAAACATTAAAAAAATAAAATCATTCATTAATTTCATCATTCTAATTATACTGACAAAACCGAAGAGCAGTACGTTCTAAGATAATCAATAATTACAGTGGAATATACAATAACTGTATGGTTAACAGCTTTAAACATTTTTTTCCTTCTCAGGTTTAATGGGTTCTGTTAACAGATAAACTACTGTTAAACTACTGTTAGAAAAATGAAAATAGACGTACATTTCCAAAAATGTACTGAATTACAAGCAACAGTAGTACATACAGTCTGTTCACAGGAGTCATTAGGAGGATTTTGTTTACAGATTGTTGAGTCATTATGTATCCCAGAGTGTTTAAACATGTAATTTATAATGCAGCATTTAGTGTGCTGCTGAGATATACAGTATATATATATACAGTATATGTCTCCTGAAGACATTATGATGGCTACATTTGATATTCTAGATGCTACGCTCTTTGCTGTCATGAAAATAAAATGATGTCAATTTAAAAATGATTAAGAAGACCAATCAAATCAAAGAAAAAAATTTGAAAATGTAAGCGCGGACAGGGCCATTTGAATGTGCGAAGTTTCCGGTGTCATCCGCGTCCAGTTATTTTAGCTGCACAAAAACTAATTTTGTTACTTTACATTACAAACGTAGTCATATTATTATAATGTTATGTTGTAATTATAAACACACTGGTTTATAGCATTAATAGTTTTACAGTTTTCTGCACTTTGTTATCGGAAGACTCACACATTCACAGAAATATGATTACTTGGCCTATGTTTTTCATGTAATTCATAATTGAATTTGACCTGACAAGAAACATTCTGCCGCTTTGCATCTTCAGTATATTAGGCTTATGAAAAAAAAGTTGATGTGTGCATATTTTAAAATAAAAATGGTTACGGCCTTGAATACCAATTAACCTTCTGTACAGGGATCAAAATCAACAATGTTTTAGTGGCTTAATATAAGAACTTTTAATAACTTTAACTAAATTAATATATTAGACTTAACTGGCTGTATTTAGTCATACGCATGACCCTCTTCCAAAGGGTCAAGACGGCTTTGTATCTTTCATTTACCTGAACACATTTATTTCTTTGAATGGCACATTTTTTAGTAAAGCTGTTTATGAACAACATGCATTGTTAAAAGCAGTATATAAAGAAAACTGAATTCATTGGATAAACACTTATCCACCCACGAGACAACCTGCCATTGCAAAATCTCTCCTTCATCAAAGGTAAAAATGTTAATGGATTGCATCACCTCTAAATGCACAGAGTCGTTAAACCACGTGTCAAAATATGAATGCAGTTTGCAAAAAATGTCCATCATATCGAACAATACAAGCCTCCACCGTTGAGCCTTGAGCGAGGTGTTTCCATGTTGCTTTAGGGTCATGACTTTCCCTCTAAATATGCGTTTAGGATAGTTTTGGAATCATTGCTTTGTAATTTTGGTAGCAAAAGTACATCTGTGTCTTGCCAACATTTTTCCATTCAATCACCCCATTAGGCTCCAACTCTCTGCGTCACATGACAGAGAAGCAGTTCAAGTATAAACGCTCGGCTGAGCATAAAATAATCAGAGTCAGTGTGGGTTGTTAAAGTCTGAGGCAAATGTCTGTCCCTGTAACTTCCCAAACTCCCCAAAAGAAGTCAAAAGAAAAAACAAAACGGGTGCAGTTTGCAGTAAATATGTATCTTAAGCGTACTGTATATTGACAGTCTTGTACATTGCTGTCTGTAGATAAAAATATCAGCATCAGCCATTGAAAACATGTCAAAATCAAACAGATAAAATGAAATTAAGGTGTCATTGTTTATTTTCTTATCATATTACATAAATGTTAGATGACACAATAATTCTTACAATTCAAAAATATGATAATACATATTTTTACGGCCTAATTTTGTTATGATAAATGTGAAAGATTTTTGCACATAGATTTGCAGAAGTTTAATTTGTCCGTATTATTGATCTATAATTGATATGTACAAATGCTTTAACCAATAACATTCTATTTCTAAATCACTTCTACTAATATTTTAACAAAAAATATCTAACGATTTCCTGCAGAATTACATAAATAGATAAGAAATACATCCAGATCTACACATTAACTTCACTGGTAACCCTCTGAACAATGTTTCTGGAGAATGGTGTTGAATATCAAAAATGATTTTTTTTTATGTGAAAATTTTTTTTTATATGTGAACTAAAGATTATCTGAGCCTATTTTGATAAAGATGTTGAAAACAAGACATGTTTTCATAAAGTAGAATCGCTTCCACAAACTGTATAGACCAGGGGTGGGCAAACTTGGCCCTTCCAGGTTAGCTCCAACTCTAATCAAACACACCTGAACCAGCTAATCATTGTCTTCAAGACTACTAGAAAGCTACAGGCAGGTGAGTTTGATCAGGGTTGGATCAAATCTCTGCAGGAAAGTGGCCTGGAAGGGTCGAGT